CTTGCACGCTAGTACTGAGTGGCAGGAACAGCGAAGCTATACGAATCATGGCACGACAGCACGTGGACGACACCTTCAAAGGTGTGTGGAGCTAACTTTGGCAGGATGTGATGCTGCTGGCACTCGTGGACATGCAAGTAGGCTCGTATCCAGCAGCCTGTATATGATGTGTAGCAGCTGCCGTCGCAGAGTCCTTGCGGAAGGAATGCCGCAGCATTTGTTTGCGGGTTGTTCGTTGGAGCCTTGTGCGGAGAAAGGCTGCAGACAGAAGCTAAAACAAATGGTTGCTGTCGCCTCGCCAAACACTGCAACGTCTACTGTGACCGCCATCATGACTTTTAGATGTGCAAGTACCCCGCAACAAGCTAGATGGACGTCATACACTAAGAGGCACAGAGACCTACTGCTTCGCGTACAGCTATGATGCGCTCCTGGGACTTTTCGAGCCATTTCTTGAGGCTTTAAGGATTTGGGATTTAGGGTTTTGTGGTTTCCTTAAGTCTGAGGAAATTGGGATTTGGGATTTAGAGTTTTGTGGTTTAGACTAACAGGGTCTGCTTCGGCTATGTCTCCGAAGGGCTCCCTCAGAATTACTTCAACCTAACCCTTATTACTTTGCGCCCCTACTGCAACCCCCAATATGTACCCTATTTTACTACAATATTTTCCATGTTGTTTGCCACTATCCCTATATAGCCGATCTCCAGAATCCCATTTAGTCCCTGTCATCCCTAAGGGCGCACGATTTCAACAAACTTCAACCAGCGCATAGCCTGGTTCTTTTCGTGCTTGAAGGGCGATTGGCCTGCAAGATGGTAACCCTAAATCGTAAACCCTAAACCCTAAGCCCTAAACCCAAACCAAACCCAAAGTTTACTGGATCTGAGTAGTAGGGAGAAAGGGAAGTTATTCCTCCTACAATCAATGTAGAACATATTCCCTTATGCACTACTAACCCTCAGTAAGAAAGCTGAATCATTAGAAAGCCCCTTAATAGCTGGGATCCTGATGAGTCTTGTCAGAATCCATGGTCGGAATTCCGCGGACCTCCTGGCTCTTAGTAGGGAATAAGGGAACATAATGGGGTTGTATGGGGAGAATGAAAAAGAAAATGAAAATTGCCACATAATCATCATAGGACATATACATCTATGGGGGGTAATTGTAGGGAATAAGGGAATACAGTACATAGGGATTAAACAGGGATTTTTATTCCCATATTCCCTAAAAAGAGCCAGTAAGAAGACATGGGTGTCCGCTTAGGCTGGTGGCAGACTGCAGAGGGTTTAGGGGTTTAGGGCTTATAGGATTTAAATAGTGTTGAGCGGGTTGCCACAAAGTATAGTAGCTGCGTGTGGCCTATGTGCAAGCCCCTTTGTTCTTCCTGGCTCTCAGTAGGGAATTATGGAATGTAATCAGTATGTATTCCTTGTTCCCTGCCACTAAGAACCAGTAAGTGTAAGAATCCGCCGAAGCCCGGCGCATGGCTCACAAGAGCCTGAGGACGGGTTTAGCCCTCTCGCAAAGAACAGAAGTCCTCAAGGCTGCTGTCCGGAAATAGGGGAGCTAAATGGTAGTTCCCTAGATAGGGGCCCCAAAATACTCTATTCCTCATTGTGGGACCCCCCAACAAGGTATCAGGAATCTTGGGAAACCGGCCTAAACCCTAAACCTTAAACCTTATCCTTATTTGTCCCTATATATTCAGGGCAGCTCCTCACGAAGTTCATCAGTAAAAGGACTCCGATGCGAACCCCAAACAGGAAACCTTGAGACTAGGAATATGATGGGAATATGAGGACCCTGGTAGGCATATTCCCATTATATTCCCACTATTCTCTTGGGGTTTCCACCCTAACCCCTGAACCTTAACCCTAAACCCTTTAAATCCTAAACCCTGAAAACCCTAAACCTTAAACTCTGAAGACCCTAAACCTTAAACCCCCAACCGAAATCCCTGAAGCCCTGTTTGGGGTTCCCGTTCAAGTCTTTTTTATCATAGTCAAGTCAGGCTCGGGATCTCCACACCTTTCGCCATGTGAGCTACAGTCTAAACTCCTTAAAGGGGGGTATGTAGGGGAATATACAGGGGAGCATTATAGGGGTTACTAAGGGGGATACTAGGAGTGTAGACTATAGCTCACGTAGTGTCCAGTGACGGAGTGTGACTAGGGTTTTAGGGTTTGGGAGTTTTAGGTTTCAGGGTTTAGAGAGTTCAGGGTTTAGAGGGTTCAGGGTTCAGAGGGTTCAGGGTTTAGAGGGTTCAGGGTTAAGGGTTTAAGGTTCTGGGGTTTAGGGTGCGCTTCAAATATTTGTGTAGTCAGTGCTCCGTTTGCCAGAGCCTCGCTGCACTAAACCCCGTGTTGCAGATGGCCATCATTATCATCTTTCCGTTGTTGCTAAGACTGCGATTTCTTTTCAGTTTGCTCGGAAGCCCCCTTTTGGTACCTGCAAAGAGGATCGTAGTATTCCGTGGGACGTTTGTCAGAGACAGCCACATGATTGGCATCGCCTCGATCAACTCATGTCAGAAACTTGGAACTAAAACTTGCACACTGCACCCGATTTCTATAAGGTCGGGCATGATGAACTACTCGGCACCTCGTCTGTTCGGGTTTTGCTACAATTGATTCGTAGCCTAGAGACATATTTACATACATATATATATATGTTCACAGGTACACATATTAGATGGATAGATAGATACCTAAATTCCAGAATTCCCTCAATCAGATTCCCTGAGCTACTTCTACCCTAGGGGATCCATTTCGGAGAGACCCCCAGTGTGTGCAACCGAGAGCCTCCTCTGCCTGGGATGTTTTTTTTGAGGATTCCCGGGCTTTGATTTTACTGGGTTGCTTTTAAGTATCAAGTTACCATAATGGGTTAGGGTTTAGGGTTTTGATTTTTCTGGGTTGCTGTTAAGGAACTTAAACTAAGTTACCCATAGTGGGTATGTATAGTAATAGGATTTTCGCAATATGGTAACTTAACTTAAGTTCCTTAACAGCAGCCCAGTTTTTCAATTTTATGTTGATGGTATATAGGCTATTATCCAAATCATGGCCTCTTTTTGTTATAGATCATATTATGGCACCTAATATTTTGTGGTACCAAACCGGGACCCTGACTAATTTTGGGACCTACTCCATATGTACGATCAGCGACTATGAGGCCCTGACAGACATGCTCGCAGAAGATCAGGGGAAACTGCTGGTTCCAGAAGGGACCCTAAACCCTAAACCCTAAACCCTAAACCTTAAACCTTAAACCCCAGAAGCGCTTTAAGAGCGTGTGGGAGTCGTGCCGTGAAGGTGCCTCGTAGCGGAGAACGAGGTCTAGCCTTGGGTACTGCCCCCCCCCCCAGTAACAGTTGGATACTAATTGTAATATGGTTATATATAGCCCTGAATAGGACCCCTAATATAGACTATTACTGGGAGCGGGCAGTACCCTAGTCTAACCTTTGGTTTTTGGCTTGATGGCGCGTTGGCTCTGGCATTCGGATGGCTAATTTCGAAGCTTGAATAACTACCAACATCACGTTTTAATGGTCTTCTACAATCACAACGTAACATACACATTCCCCGAGTTCCCTTTCTGATGCATTGTTTGGCCCCTCCTCTACGACGCAGAGGAGGGCTTAGCAGCTTGGAGCTAGGGTATTCGCCCTAAGTCAGACTCATTGATTCTTCAAACCCTGTGCTGAATGTGAGCTTCTTCCTTCTACTGGACCAGTAATCGGATTCTAGGGAAGTAGGACCCACCGTTGGGATATTGCTAGATTGGTTAATATGGGTTGCTCTCAAATTTGTGCGTGCCTTTTGGGTACAGATTATATCATGGCACCTACAGTAGTATTTAGGGGTACCAAAATGGGACCCTAATCTTGGGAACTACCCTAAACCCTAAATAGTAACTGCCATTTTCTTTTCCATTATCCCTAAGTAACCTCTATAGACCCCTATATACCCCTAATTTTGGGAACTACCCAACCCTAGACCCTAAACAATATATATCATGAATCCGAACCTGCAAGTAGCATCAAGCTGGAGGACCATCACGAGTACTGCGCCCCCGCGGCCACGGGCTGCATGTGCAACGAGAAGCCCGCTGCTTAGTGCCGCGATTGCCGGATGTCTTCTTACTATTCTTATTCTTACTATCAATATTATCTAGGGGTTATATTTGATAGGTTATGTTAGGGTTATATTGAGGTAGAATCAATATTATGATTATCATGAGTACCGGGTGGAAACGCTGCAGAATTAAGGGCTCATGTGTGGATTTATCAAAATGGGTGGCCACGGACTTTACTCTTAGGGATAGGTAGGGCTACAGATGGATTAGGGGAGTCCCTCTTTAGGCTTCTATGATATAAGAAGAAGCCATAGTTACAACCCTGGGAGCCCTCCCTCCTGTGCGCTCCGCCACCGTCAGGGTTGGATGTAGGTAACCATGTAGGTTTGCCTTGGCATTATGATATCAGAGTTGAAGCTTGAGGCATGGTGTTCAGGGATTCCAAGTAAACGGCTGATATTCCAGAGTGGGCAGGAAATTCATCAGCCACCAGTCCACAAGTTAGGACACCAAACCTTGATGTCCCGATGTGTGGTGGTAGCATAAGGAGGGCCTGGCTGCGTGTGACAAGAGCTCCAGATAGGTTACTCTCGCGAGCGATCCAGTATATGCACAACATGGAAATTGTTCAACGTGAGGTGCGCTTTGCATGTGACCTACAGAATGTGTTCCTCATTATTAGGATCCTTGACAGGCACCCATTTTAGATAACAGCTTAAAGCGCATGATCTGGAGCACGTAGGCAATGCAACAATCAGTTGAGACGCCAACATTCCATACTACCATAGTCCGATGGAATATGGATTTGGGTATGTTATGATAAGCTCCCCATATACCCCATATTCTCAACCATATTCTATCTACTTAAGGGGGACTATACACCCCAACCCAACCTCTTAAACCTCAAGATGAGTGCTCAGGTGGGAGCACAAGTGCAGCGACCAGTGGGGCCCAGCTTGCATGCCTTCATCCAGGATTAGGGTGCGTGATTTGGACAGACAGTGTGCCCTATCCTATCATGCCCTGGGAAAAAACTTCCAAGACGGAATGCCTCTCGTGTGTTTTTGTTTTACAAGCGTCTGGTTTTTTTTGGTGCAGGTATGAGACATAAGCAGGAGTAAGGGCGGGGACTTGAGAACAAGAAGAAGAAGAGCACTTTGTTTTGGATCCAGCCTTCAAAGGAGTTGAGATTAAAGAGCAGAGACTCAAAACTTGCGGCCGTTTTCAATATAATGCGTCGTGCCAACATTCTCAAAACCGCATGACCCCAGGCCTGAAGCACAAGCTCACGATGGCTCTCGCCAGGCTACAGCTGGTGCCAGGAGAAGACGATGGCTTGCCCCATCACCTGCGCTGACGACGAACAGGAGCAGATCCCACGACTTCGTCACAGTTCCAACAAGTGCGTCAGAGAAGGAATGCCTCTAGGATTGGGACTTGACGCTTAGGATTCGCTGGGTCTGACTTTCAGCGAAAGAAGAGGTGCCTTTGAGATGCACTTGCACTTTCAGCTCCTGTGAAGTGGATTCTTGGAGGACTGCTGGATCACACCATATGGTGCCGACGGCCGGGTGCCTAAAGAAGACAGGGGCCGGGGTGGAGGCTGACGCCCAACTTGCTTAGCAAGGAAGGATTACAGGAAAGTGATTCTTACCCAATTGTTTTTTTCATTCCGTCACTTCCTGCGAACCATAGGCAAGAGAAGACCCAAGGCTTTCCGGACTGGAGTGCCAGCTACAACCAGACCTGCCACCCGATCGACCAGTTGGGTCCCTGGAGGTGTGCTTGATCGGCCACGCTCGGTACTGGGTCGGTCCAGACATGCTGAGCTATGGTCTAAACTCCTAGTATCCCCCTTAATATCCCCTATAGTAGTCCCCCATATAACATCCTTTAAGGAGTTAAGACTGTAGCTCATCTGTGTTTCCAGTTCTGTCTTGCTGCCAGGCTTTCCAAGAAGATCAAACCTCATAGGATTCTCAGACATAATGCCGTAGTTCCTACACGTGATCTACTGGTCTTGTTCCGCGTAGACAAAGAAAGATGCTGCTACAGGAGACGTGCATCGATGATAGAAGGTTTCCCACCTAGCATCTCAATGCCTTACTGCCTCCCGAGCAGCTATTCGGTAGCAGTTGAAGAACATTGCGCAGCCTCAAGTACGAACAAGGAGGATATAATAGGAAATGGGGGGGTGCTTTGCCGTGAGGAACCATGTTGCAAATTACTGCTGCTACGAGTGGCATTCTTATTACCACTCTTGCCTACTTTGACATGTGTGTTACCCTTTTAGTTCTTGAGGTAGCAACTTTGACGGTTAACACGGTGCCCACAAGGCCTTGCCCCTGCCATCCGGAGTTCGAGGACACCTGCCTCGGACCCAGATCGTGTAGACAATGTCATCAAGAATTCGTGTGAGGTCCTGCAAGCCACTGCAAGCACCGGCCTGGGAGAATAATCCCTTGCCCATAATATTAAACCACCCAACATCCCCCTCATATTAAATACTCCCCATTGTGGTAGGATAGTATATCGGGAGTATTTTATATTAGGGTAATCACCCACTAGACACCGATCCGCATGCCTCCATGAAAACACAGGAAGTGAGTTGGGTTTACTTCCACAAGGAGAATAGCAATACTTTGAACAATGATCCTAACAGTACGTAATGATATTCACAATAATAGCACTAATTAATAGTAATATGAAGAAAATACTGGGATATATGTTGTTTGCGAATTGTATCCTGATCCATGGAAATTTCCTGAACAGTCATCTCAATTCAATCCTCCAGATTCACCCCGAGTTGTGCCCTACACCCTAGACTCTAAACCCCGAACCCCTAAACATTTGAAGGTCTAGGCATCGCCATCCTTTTCTTGGTACCTCACAGTTGAAGCCTAGCCATGAAAATTCCAATTTACAACCAAGTGATATAGTTCCGTTTGAGTAGATAGGAAATGGGGTATATGGGGATCTTCTTATAATATACCCAAAGCCATATTCTATCTACTTAAATATCCTATACTCGAAATACTGTTGTAGATAATTGTTTTCCCCATATACCTTTCTAGGCTTAGGTTTCATGATTGGCTTAGGCAGCGACAACTGGGGTACCTGGTGTCAGACAAAGGCTTATGGCTCCTGCCCTGTGTGCTTTGGACGCACACGCCGTTCAATTGGGACATATAGGGTTTGGGGTAATTGTGAGCAATCTCGTGGTGCCTTTAAGGGGGCTTTTCGGAATTTCTAGAGTGTAGGTTATAGGGAGCACTGGAGGATCGCACGGAAAAGAACATGGATTTTGACATGGACACTGGGGTTATATGGAGTGTTAAGAAACTTGAAGAATTAAGGTGCCAGTATAGGCAAGTCCCATAGTTGACCGCATATCCATATTACGGTGACTTTTCTACGTCTAAGTTATTTTAAGAGCCACTCAGCTTACTGGAGAAAAGTGTCATGGTGTCATAATGGGGATTATACAACGGCTAATGTAGGGATGCTTTCCCCTACTCCCAGCTGTTCCAAGCATGGGTACTAAATATCATTGTGCTAGTATTACTATTACTACCCTTGTTCTTTTTTTTATTATTATCACGACTGTTATTAGTATCATTCCTATTATTACTAGTATAAGCTGAGTTTCCTTGGATCCAATTTTGTGACCTTGCACCTGCAGGCTAGCAGAGGGCGGATGCACAAAAAGTGCCATTCAAGGAGAGCCCTGGGACCCCAACGAACAGCATCACTAACCCAGACCCCTGATTCATAAACCCTCTGCCCTTAATGGGGATTATAATAGGGAGCCTAATATTAAGGTCCTTAAAAGGAGGGGGTCTAGTAATCAGGGTTCTACATTAACGCCCACTCTGCCTGTGACATGCCCGCACTTCCTTCTGGATGTGTTTGAGGGAGGTTGTTGAACATCAACGGGAATACCTTCATCCAGGTAAAGACTCTCTTTGAAGTTCCGGAGCCATGACTTTGGGAGTCTCATGTTCCCTGGCGGCTTTCCGTGCTGCATGCTTGGACCCTGGGTAAACTTCAAACTCCGAAGCCCTGGGCTCATTTTAAACCAATGCTGTGTCACCAGACAGTCCCCGCGCAGACATGGGTTGCGCAATCTAGTCATGACAGAGGTGCATGTCGCAATAATCTATGTCACTATGTTCGATTGTCTATAGGCGTTACAGGCCCCTGGAGACCCCAATCTTCACATCTCAGTGTGGCCCATGCACATGGCTAAAGAATGTCGGGTAAAGCCAACATACCGATGTACCAACAGTGGGCTTAAAACCCTTCCCTCACTACAAGACCCTACATGCCTAAAACAAACCCGAGCTTCCATTTCATTCTCCATTTTCTTGTTCATTCTCGTGTTAATAGTGGCAATTTCTCCCTAACCCCCAATATTGGCACTGTAAGCCTGACGCGCCACCGCACAATCTTCCCCTAGCACCCTAAAACCCTTAGACCCTAAACCCTCACACCCTAAACCCTAAGCCCTCAACCCCTAAACCCTGAAACCCTAAACCCCTAAGACCCGAAACCCTAAACCTAAGGACATGCAATGAGGGCGAGTTGCTTGGCAGCTTATAGGTCCCAGAGGGTCCACGGACCCAATACTTACTGGTGCTTAGGATTTAGGGTTTATGGTTTAGGGTTTAGGGAAGAATTGGGTTGGCGGAGTGAATATAGGTACCAGTACAGGGGTATATGTTGGGATTATATAGGGATGCTCATTGGGGGAGTGAATATAGGTACCATTACAGGGATATATGTTGGGATTATATAGGGATGATTATTGGGATCCACTCCCCACTTACCCTTAAACACCAATAAGGATAGTTGGGTACCGAGGTTTTTTGGTACTAGCAACTAGCCATCTTAGTGCAGGATTTGGGGCAGTGCATGACTATTGGGTACTTGGACCTTCATTTAGAATGCCTAGTTTGTGTTCAGGGTTTTGTCGCCAGTCTTGGAGTGGCATGGGCTCGACACTTTACTTTCAATAAACGGTCTGCGTTGGGTCTTGCTTCGCCCTTTTTTGTGCATCTGTTGTTTTCAGATTCCAGGGCAGCAATGCTGGGGAATGACTGACATTGGGAGCATCTGATGCATTGCTTTCAGACCTCCAACCCTACAGCGTAAACTCTAAACCCCGAAACCCTAAACCCTAGTCCCAGACGTCCCAAGTCAAGTTGTCATAGACCGCATCAAAGGAGCAATCGTCAAAAACCAAAGCAGTTCTGTCACCGTCCGAGTCGTTCTGCCAGAACATGGCCTGAATGACATGGAAACTACTATAGTATATTGGGTGAATATAGGGATAGTGGAAAAGAACATGGAAACTACTATAGGGACGGAAAGCACTAAGCTTTTGTGGTCTTGAGCCTCACCAATTTGGCGCCATGGATCCAAGAACTCTTCCTAAGCTTTAAACCGCATGCAGAAAGCCGGGACCCTGCTCCTTAAATTATACTCTCTGAAGTCGGAGTAATGAACCAGGCATGATTCGAAGTAGGCTCGACTATCAAAAGTCTTGGGGCTTCCGGTTGACCGTAAAAACAGGGAACGTTGCCTGTGTAATGATAAACGATACTGGCAAATGTGGTATTGCACCCTGATGCCGCAGCTTTAGACTGGGTGCACGCAGCCTGCAACACTGCTTCTGCTTTAAGCTAAGCAGCTCGTTTGGATCAGGTAACTTGCTTAGAGCATTTGTGGGCAATGCAACTTGAGGATGATCTGCTGGATCACGCCCTATGACGCCCCTGGGACTGGAGACAGCACCAGTGTTGAAATGGGATTGTGTAGTTGGGATCTTTGTACTTGGGAAGGACGTAGTGCTTCACAATTCAGCTCCAATCTGGGTTCAATTCTGGTATCCCATTCCCCCGGGCGATCGGTTCCGCCCTAGGACATTTGATGTGAGCATGCTCACTGATCTGTTTTGTTTGGATCCAGGATGCGTGTGCGCAATCTGTCAACTTTGCTGCTGCGCTCCTTTGCCCTAGGGGGCCCGTCTTTGGAGTCATGATCTCGAGCGAGACGACCGCGTTTGAAGTGCTTCATTTGGTATGTCCAAACGTCTTGAAGTATGCAAACAGATCTCAGCTATCATAACTACCCAGTTCAGTCTAGCTTGCAAACAACAGTTTCGGGATGTTCACCATATGAACCACAGTCTAAACTCCTGAAAGGGGCTTATATACGGGATTATATAGGGGACTACTATAGGGGTTATTAAGGGGGATACTAGGAGTTTAGAACCTAAGCCCTAAACCCTGAATCCCAAACCCTAACCCTGAATCTTAAAACCCCAAACCCTACATGATAGGGTCTATTAAGGGGGATACTAGGAGTTTAGACTATAGCTCATATGATCCAGCACACTGTCCCGCTGTCCCTAGATCTGACCTACAAGCTGCCAATGTTATCAAAGCAAACTCTAGACTTACTGGTGGCTAGTAGGGAATAAGCTAGAAAATAGTGATTCTATAGCTACTGGGCTTACATTCCCTTATTCCCTACAACAAGAATAAAATAGGGATTCTATAGCCATTGGGATTATATTCCCTTATTCCCTACAACAACCAGTAAGTAGATAGTATCCTCCCTGCCACCCGAAGAATAAGGCCCAAAAAGCGCTTCAGCCACTCAATCCTACATTCTAAGCATCCAGACCCCAGTCTAAAATCAGCGTGGCCATTGTTTAAGCCTTCATCGTCCACCTAAAGCAGTCAGAAGGTGGGGTGGGGGGTTATAGTACCCTGGAGTAAATAGTAAATGGCTTTGGGTAGATTATAATAAGATCCCCATAGACCCCATATTCTATCTACTTAAGGGGGACTATATGGAAGCTCTGAGTCTGAGGACTCCGGAAACCAGATCTATGATGTGACCTGGAACGAGACTTGCGCCAAGGAAGAAGATGGTCTCTAGGTATCGCAATTCAAGACGGATATTCTTTCTGGGAGTAAGACAGCCAGCGGCTTTTTGGTGGTCAGGGCGCGCGTTTCAAGTAGTAGAGTGGCCTACATGATTGCCAACATTATGACCCTAGATTTCGCTTTTAACATGACATTGATTGTTGCCTAGGCCTTGGGGTTATGCAGGTTGTCAGGGCATGCATTCTAACCATTAGGCCTACGGAGGAATGACAGTTCAACGTCACTAAGCTCGGTAGGACAAGTGTCTGGGCTTTCCGGGCCCAGTTGTATGGTCTGGAAAAAGTTGTTTGAAGTGCTTGCAGTGTAGAAGTCCTGCTGGGCAATTTTACCCGCAGAAGCCCTGCAGAAACTCTGAGATGATATGTTGCTTCGCCCCACCAGCCGGTGCATTTAGCTGTTTCATGTGGTCAGCACTGGTTGCCCGCAGACAACGTCCTTTCAGACTGTCAGGGCTTAGGGAGTAAGGGAATATGTAAAATAGGGGTTCTATAGGGATCATACTCCCTCATTCCGTACTGACAACCAGCAAGTAGACAAGTTGTAGTACTGCAAGGTTGCCCCTGCGATCCGAAGTGGGAGAAGCAGTGCACGAGCAACGGCTACAAGCCCCGCAATTGCGTTTATCTGTGCAATGCTTTGAGGAGAATAGGTGGAGACCCTACAGGTTGTTTCTAAGCTCCATGTCTCACATGGCATCTAAACCCTAAACCCTAAGCCCAAGTCAATTCAATAGGTGTCACCATGGGTTGAACACCTCCTGGAGATAGTGTTTGACTAGAGCTGACGAAGTTGTGGGTCGAATCATGGCGCGCCATCAAGGCTTCAATGGTTTCCCTCCCACATTGAAGGCCTCACACCTGTTGCTATCATACATCCCCCTCGTGAAGATGCAAAGGCAAAGGGAAAGGGAGGTGAGAAATTGTTCAAAGAGTTCGAAAGTGTCCCAGTATTCATGTCGCTACTTGAAGCAAGAACCGTTCATTATTCAAGTGATAGCTGGTTCGGATTACAGCATCACCTCTTTATGAAGGTTATGTAGGTCGAGGTCCATAAGATGACATCGTGTTCAGATCAAACATTGCGCTTGATTATATGATATTGCAGCTTCCCACCATCTGGGACCCATCAGGCGCACCGGAACCACAACTTTGGCAATTCCCCATGTAAGGCTCTTACACTGTGGTCTGCATTCTTTGCAAAGTCTAAAATGGATTAGAGATCCTACCTCAGACAAGGCTGGAACCCTCTGAATCCAAAGCCGCCTATTCAGACGCCATCCCAGGTACTGCGTGTACCACACGAACAGCTGCAGCTTAGACTTTAAATGGAGGTAACAGTTAATAGTAATACTACTAGTAATCCTAATGGTAGTACTTTTAGATACTCCTGATATATGATAGATATACCTGTAATATATCACAATGGGGAGTGTTCAAAATGGGGGGGATACTAGGCGGGGTGGGGGGGCTGTAATGTTAGGGGAAGGGATATCGATTTTGTTCTGAGGAGTCCTTGATGTCCTGCTTGAAAAAGAAGAATCTCTAGTTGTGGTTTGCCATGCTTTTATTGTGTGATTTTTTGTGGGGCCTGTTCCAGTGCTACTTACCCGGTTGGGTCCATCGTGCAGAAGGCCATTCGCAATTTGAACCGATGCGCGGCCTGCGTGTACTTGCTCTAGCATTTGCAAGCTGAGGCCCAGTGGACTGCGGAGATAAGCAGAGCTGCTACCACTACATGTCAGGCGCTACGCTGCCTCATTGATTCTGCAAGCCCTAGTCTAAACTCCTAGTATCCCCCTTAATAACCCCTATAATAGTCCCCTATAGAATCCCCTATATATCCTCCTTTAAGCAGGTTTAGCCGTAATGAAGCGTGCGCATAGTATGTGGTTTCGATATAGCATCATCCTCATCACAGCACTGGAAGCAGCCGTCAAAAAAGGAGTAGCAGGAGGGCTGATTGCCGTAGTATTGGTGGTGCTGATCGTAGCAGCCGCAACATTCACAATTTTGCAGAACACATATCTTGGTCATGGTAGGTACAGCGACAAGGCTGGATGCAGGTGAGTTTATACGGTGATAGTCGCCTACAACTTAGTACGAATCTGCAAAGCACTCGTGGAACAAAGATCAGGCGGCAGTGGTTTCTCGGTAAGCGCTCCTGTTAGATTGGCAACAGTCCTGACACTAGTCTTTGTCTTTTAGCAAGGAAGAGTGCCGAACATCATAGTTATCATCTGCCCAAGTTTCTAGATGCCTGGGACTTTCTTTGGGGAGTCTAGGGCTGCGAGGCTTGGGGGTCAAGATTCCGCTGTCACATGAGCTATATAGTCTAAACTCCTTCAAAGGGGGCTATTTAGGGGATTATATAGGGAACTATTGTAGGGCTTATTAGGGGGTACTTGGAGTTTAGACTATAGCGTATGCATTTTTTTCGGAACCATGCCTTTGCTGCTGGGACCCTGTGTAGAAGCTTCCATGCACTGAGCTCTCGCGTGGCAAGAGACTTTCGGCCTGGATGGTGCGTGTTGCGGGCTGCAGCATCATTCTTGCAGTTCTGGCAATGTTGGCTACTATTGTTACTCTTACTACTAGTGCCATTCTCATTGCTGCTAGTATTTGTACTATTGCTGTGAAAAACATTGGGAGGGTAAGTACGTGCAAACTCCGAGCAGGCAACGAAAGCTGTGCCACGGATTCGGGCTGCGTCTGTGAGGCGGACGAGATCAGCTGCGCCAACCCGGACCGGGCTTTAGGAAGAACCACAGTGCAGGATTCTCAAAAAAGGGGCCTAGGAATTTATGGGGATTACTGAGGACTGCTAGGAGCAACATCCTATGCAGAAAAGTGATACTAGGACGAATGGTACTGGTAGAAGTGTATACCTTGATCGAGCAGCAACACTGCCGGTGCTTGGAATCGAAGTGACCGTAGCTGCAGGACATGACACGTGACCACAACTTAAGTGACATGTGAAATACCTAGAAGATCTCCGAGGAGTGAGCACAGGCACAAGAGCCAAAGTATCAATTTTGAAAGCACTGTCCCTCTGAAAAGATGCGCCAAAACACTTGGAGCAAACCGACAACCTTAGCAAGGGATCCAAGGGTGTTCTTACTTATGTCAGTGTGATTGAGGATTCATGGTGAGGATACAACGAAAACACAGGCTAATCACCTCCCCATAATATCCCCTAATAATGAAGGCTTCCCCCCAATACATGGTAGTACTTTGCGGGCTTTTGTTATCAATCATCACAGGGGGGGACAGTAAGTTTGAATCATTCCAGTCGGGAAAGAACTTACTTGGTCAGCAGCGCAATTCCCTAAATCCTAGACGGAAAACCCTAAACCCTAAATCCTAAACCCTAAGATCCCCAGGCAAGTGCTTAGTTATCAGGACGTATCCTACCGGAGGCCTATGCGCACTGCACACCCATGCTATTCCACAGTAGGGACAGAGCTTAGGATTCAGGTTTTAGGGCTTAGGATTCAGGGAATATGCTTGTTTTGTCCGGACTTAGAGTTTAAACCTCGGAATCAGCACGGCCGCGCTAGCACTCCCGTGGACGTATTGTTGAGTTGCATGGAAACATCCCTTTCAGAGAAAAAGGGCTCACCATGAAGGGGAAACCCCCCCAAAAATGGTGCATGGTTGAGAGGCCTTCCTTCTCCAGATTTGGTAGTTTCCTAGAATTTGGAACCCCAATATGAACCCCAACATGCTACAACACTCATTCTAGGTGCTCCCCGACAAAGGTGCCCAGAATTTCGGGAAACCTCCATCTAGAGTCTACAGAGGCAATTCCTGCTGTGCAAAATAGGGATGTCATGGGGATATAACTCCAAAACCCCTAGTGCTGTCAGGGATTCACCCAATGGCCCATGCTTTTAAGAATGTTTATGTTCTCTGTGCATTGTTCTGCAGGAGCATGTGCTTATCTTCAGGGAAGTAGTGCTGTTTTGCTAGCTTGGAGTCTTTACTCGGAAGATCAAGTTGCACAACTGCAACGCCGGCAGGTGTTGACAGGGGACTTAGTTATGTTGGATAACTGCCCAGGGGCGTACTTGGCATCGACAACAGACAACTTGTAGAGGCCCCAAGGCGCTTCTTGTCAAGCCTGGGTCTTTGCTGGTGCCAGTCAACACATCCAGAGGACACCGGAATGTCGGAATGCTATCCCACTGCAGCTCGTCAAATCAACTCAGGGGCCTGTATCAGCACGCGTCGACAAATTATCTTTCAAATTGGGACGTTTACCAAGGCGGTTGTGGGTTGATGCGGTAGGACTACGGTACCAGCTACTGGACAGTTTCATGTTCCGTGAGGTGAAATCAAATCGCAATCATCGTTGGGCTAGCACACGAGTGCTGGTGCTAGTTGCCTGCATGGCATACTTTAGAGAACTTTAGTGATTGTTGGACAGAGGAAAACTGATGCCAGGAATATTTGGAATAGTTGTGCTGAGTTGTGCTTAAGCCGACGTGAAGGGCAGGGTTTGCTTTTGAGTTTGGCCTGGATTTGCTCTCAGTCAAGCATTGATCGTTCATCTTGGGTCATAGCTTCTGCTGCCCCCGAATCTACATGTCCCCATACTATACCCCTATGTATGTGTATATATATGTATATGTATATATATATATATGTTCCCAAGAAGGGGTACTTATCGGGGTTAGCACAAGAAGGAGACTCCATTAGCAATGGTTTTCGTCTCCCTAGGCTAGACGAGTCAGAAGGTTTAAAGAGAGACCGGGCTTAGAGTTTAGGGTTAAGGGTTTAGGGCTTAGAGTTTAAGGGTTTAGGGTCTTCCTCTTATGGGATGCGTCTGGGTGCTTACTTGTTACAGTACCTTGAGTTCCGAGCTCCACTTGTCACTTCCACCCTTGATGCAAGAAATCCTCATCGGCACCTCGCTTTTGGGAATCATATTGCAATGATCCGCTCATCCTTTAAGCCAGATCCCGACCTTTACTTCGCTTCTGAAAAGGATTGGTATCCATCTGGATGCCCGGTCTTCTGCAAGTCCTCGGAGATGCAGCTCAGACAGGGAAGCAGAAGCAGCATGAAGGGGCCTGCATGGAATGACTACAGGAGCTTGCAATCATTACTGTGAGTCCGGGGCAGGGAAGAATAATTTTTCAGATTGCTGCTCGTCTAGCAAGGAGCAGTCGTTGTAGGAGGCGTCGTCGTAGTCCCAGTCGTCGTTTAGTAGTAGGAGGAAAAAGAAGAACTACGATCATCACTCTGTACTTCGCCTCTCGAAACGGATGTTCAGCGCAGACCTTTTTTCTGGTTCTGGGTCTCTTTTGGATTTGGGATTCTTCGAATTCGATTATTTAAGGGCTGAGATTCTGTTGGGTTTAGGGCTTGGGATTAAGCTGGAAGTTCAAGGTTCAAGCCTTTGCCCGTGTTTCTTGAGTGCTTTTAAAGTGTCAGGGTGCAGTGGATTTCAGTGCAAATGGTTTATGTTTTGGTGATAGGGTGTTGTGGGTTCTTATTTACGACAGCGTTGGTGGCTTGAGGATGTTCACTTTTTAGGGTTTGCGGTTTTGAGTACGGCTTGGCCGCGGCTGCTGCTTCTGCTGCTACTGCTGCTTCTACTGCTGCTGATGCTGTTATGATGAGTTGTTCTTCTCGTGCCGCGAAGTCAACCAGTACCCCCTCTTGATACAACTATTCACACGCCTACATCACGACCGATGGTAAGGTAACACCAATGCTTAAAATGCCACATAGCGCTTGTAAAAAGTGTATCGTCAGCATTCCACGGGGCTGAAATTCAAACTCTAGAAGCTTCATAGGGACATGATCTGCCGCACATTCACCTAAGACCGCGTTTAGGTTCTGACCTGCCGGGGTAACCAACATGCGCGTTTGGATCCAGGTACTGCTCCAACGTCTCTTTCGATGCAAGCGGAATGATGCAACTGGACGACAATTCATCATGACTAGTTCTGGGATGTCCTGCGCTGGTTGTCTTTGCTATAGAATTTGCCGCGGCAGTCGTTTTTAGAAGCAGCTTTCACTTTCCATTAACTCTAGATTCATCCGGAAGTCTGGGCCCTTAAAGAACTGACTCGATGATGGTTGTGAGCATGCAGCAGGCTTTGGCAGGACTACTGCGTGGACGGCGATGCTCAGCCTTGTTGGTGCTGGATGCTACAATTATTCTTATCCTGCGGTGTGTTCGGATTTGTTGCTCTTGTTCTTCTTTTGGTTTGCGCTGCTATTGAGTAACAGTTGTTGAAGCTACCAACATTCGACCCTTTCAGTTCAACAGCCAAGAAGTGAGTAGGACCGCGCCCTCTGTCACACATGGAGAGTGGAATCCCAAAACCCTCTGGTTTAGGGTTCAGAGTTTTGGTTTTAGGGTCAAGGGGATTTGGGGGGGTTAGGGTTTAGGGCTCGCCAGTTCCCCAGACACGGGTAGGCTTCTATCAGAGACTCAGGAGAGCCGAAACTGGATGTGTCCCATCAACTGCGATGAGACTACCTCAAAAAAGCCATGCCCTCGGAGACCTTGGTCTCGGGTTGCAAGCTTGGGAATGAGGGTAAACCCGAAACCCTTTAGGCTCAGGGTTTCCATTCTCGATGGATACTTCTAATGCTGTGCAGCGCCTACAGCGTGCAATCCCCCTATAGCTTCCACACGATTCGAGTAGCCCGAAATGATAAGAAGCTCAGAAATCTGAAATGGTGTAAGAAGTTGAGAGGGTCAGATACGCAAAATGGCTGCAAGTTGAGTGGCTTGAAATGGTAAGACACGGAGAAACCCGAGATGATGGGACGCTGTCAAACCCAACACGATTGCATGCAGAGAAGACTGAAATGATCACAATTGAGAAGTGCGAGACCTGAAATGGTAAAGAATGATTAGGAAAGATACAAGACAAGAGAATCCCGACTTCCAGGTCAGTCTACATTTTCCTTGACCATTTGATTCTCCAGTCTTGGGTTATACATATATATATATATCTCTCTCTCTCTCTCTCTCTCTCTCTTTCTCTCCAAACTCGATGCAATCCCGTCATAAGTCCTCATTGTGGCGAACCCCTGCCTAGATGCTAAAGCTTGGCCAAGATGTGGAACTCCTGGCTCCTTTGACGAGCACTGCGTCGCCATCTCGGAGTCGTGTCCCTTGTGCCTGAGCCGAAATTTGGAAGCTGACAGAAGAAAGGGTTTAGGGTTAGGGTTCTTCCTCTTTAATGACGAGACCTGCTGTGTGGTGTTGCTTGGATGAATAGTCCGCAAACTATCGTCACAGATCGCTATGCTATGCCAGTGTCCTGTGTGCATTGCAAGGATTTACCGTCAAGGGCCTCTATTCAAAAACTTCTGGGTTTGAAATTTGATAGAACTCTTCCTGCTCATGCAGGTAAGATTTATAGACGTTTGGGCCCAATGTAGGTATCATTTGTGTACTTGGATCGCTATAGAGCCCCCCTGTATAACTTGATTTTCCATTTTCTTTTCCATTTGATTCTCCATTATTGGTATTATTTGTATGCTTGGATCCCTAGGGGCCTTATAAAATCCACATATAATTCCCATAAAATCCCTGCATAGTCCCTATAGGCTTTAGGGAGTCATCTGCCAAGACTAGGACCTGCACCGCGGATCAGCAGTACTGCTGGGTGGACTCTTGGCCACGATCTTCCGGGTTTAGGGGTCTAGGGTTTAGGGCTTAGGGCGTAGGGTTTAGGACTAAAGATGGTAATTAATGAGCGCAATAATCGTAATAATTGTAGTGGTAGCAATAATAGTAATAGACTAATAGTAGTAGTAATAACAGTAATCATGCAACAACAGCGGAGTTATTCAGGCATATTCTAGAGGACAGTGACTGGTAAGCTATATTTTTAATAGGAACACAATTTTTGGGGCTTGTCTACGGGCTGCTATGGAGAGTGAGGGAGATGTTTTCAACTTCCAGTATCCTCTTCCAAAGCTGAAAACTTAGTGGAACCGGGATCACAGACATGCTGAATAAGGGCAAGAAACAAATCTCCATGTATACCCTATCGAACTGTAGTAGTTTCCATTTTCTTTTCCATTACCCCTATATGACCCGATATTACCCAATATAACCCCAATATAACCCATTATAGTAGCTTCCATCCAACCATACATTTTCCCTTTGATTTTCCATTATCCCTAACTAACCCTAAACCCTAAACCCCTAAACCCTAAATCCCTAAACCCTAAACCCTAAGTCAGACCCCAACAGCATCTAGGACAACTTTGATGCAAGCGGCATGTGGACCGACTATTCTGAGAGCTGCGCCCCGTCTGCCATATAAGGGTTTAGCGTTTAGGGTTTAGGGTTGTGTCCCCAAAGCCCAAGCTAGGAAGGGAAAAGCCCAAGTTATACCCTCGAAATCTCTTGTAGCGCCTTATAGTTATAATCTTAGATAACACTCTTCGCGTAATATGCCTACCAGGAACCCCAAGCCCCTAATGGCATAAAGCCAAAATCCAAAATTGCTGACCCTAGGCTGGATCTCCTGACTTTGGAAGTCAAGGTTTCCTGTTTTAGGGCTTTTAGGGTCATAGGGTTTTAGGGTTATAGGGCTTTAGTGTAGTTATAGGGCTTTAAGGTTGGGAATAATTGAAAACGAAATGGAAACTGCTATAGTATACTGGGGGTATATAAGGAATAATGGGCCACCAGGCAGAGAAAATGGGATCACACAGGAGCTGCTGAAGTCCCACAAATCAAGGGCAATTCTCAAGATCAGGGTCCTACAAAAAATCAACCCTTCAGTTCTGTATGTGAAGGACAAACAGGGATCCATAGTACAGGCCTACCAAAAAGATGACCGTGTATCTAATCTTGGCCAAGGTGCGCCTATGTCTGGTGACTGCCCTTGTGGCACAAATGCTGTGCAGTGCGAAGACCCCTTCGGCGGCTACAAGTACTGCACTGCAGCCCCTTGCCTCCAAGTCGATTTTGGGGATGGGTTGTGATTCTTTGGTGTCTTGAAAAGTGAGGACCTTATGAACTGGGAGCATATGAGAGCCTCAACTGTTTGAAGGCGAGAGCTGTTGGGATGATTTCCTGGAAAGACAGGACTTAGCCTGTGAATTTTCTCTCATCAGGTATCTGTGGGCGGATGTAGAAGAACCGCAGCTACAAGTCAGCCCTTTGAGAGCTGCTGCATGTAGGCAATTGCAGCCGCACCACCACTACTAGATAGCAGCACAGGTGGAGAGACCCCATAGCTGAAACTAAGTAGGGTTGCATGTGAAAGTTCGGAATTCGGGATATCCCGTGCGCGCCAGAAGGGTCAGCTGCATCTCATATGGCATTGGAAATGGAGCCTTTGAATACCATACAGGTCTCTCCAACGAAACGGCCGTGCTCTGCCAATGGTCACTCAAAGTTTCATGTAAGACCCTCCACCTAGCCTCTCTCAGGGCAGTACGTACTGGGGCCATAAGTAAGGTAGTTCACATCCTTCCGGAAACCCTAAACCCTAAACCCTAAACCCTATAACATGGATAACTTGAAGGCATCTTGGGGCTGTCCAGTCTACTGCAACCCCATCACCGAGAAGACATGCTACCCGGTGTCCTTCACTGAAGATGGATGCTCGGCGTGGCTTTGGGCTTTTTGAACTGAGTCGTAGGAAGAGTTACAACTCCCAGCCGGTTTCTGTGTATCTTGGAAGAAGGCCCATGGGGTATGTGATTCTGCAAACACGGTAGCATGTAACGCCCCCAACCACTCAGAGATTCTAAGCAGTAATAACAGTAAGGCACCATAAAATTGCATTGGGGAAAGGTTGACTACATGGTAGTTTCCCAAAATACTGGGACCCCAATATAGCCCCCCAAATATTATAATCCTTATTATAGGGACCCCAAAATGGTACCCCTATTTTTGGGAAACCCTAATCCCTATATAATACCCTTAATAACCCCTATAATAGTCCCCTATATAACCCCTATATAACCCCTATATAACCACCCCTTAAGGAGTTTAGACTATAGATCACATGGTGGTTCTGTTTGACGGTTGCTTGGTTCCAGCTCAGAGCTTCTTATTATTCAGCTCCTGCAATGCCATGATTCCGTCTAGGACAAAAGGTCTGTGAGAAAACGTGCTCTATTGCTTCTACTGGGGCTCCATGTCTATAAATACTACCTACATTGGGCCCCAAAGTCTTCAAATATGACCTACATTGGGCTATTTGGAGCCTTAGGGTTCCCCTTTTTAATACTTGAAGCCCAAACATTTGCACAAGTGTTGCCAACCCACCTGTAGCCTCAAACTTCCTGTGGACTAGGATTGATAGTATCGAGTCAACGAGGCCTTGCTATATGGTTGGTTGTCAATATTATGGTCCCCTTTTGGGTACCCTAGATATTGGGGGCCGTATTATAATAGGGATCCAAAAAGGGACCATAATTTTGACAACCACCCATATCAAAAACCATGTCCTGGCTGCCTGGTGGCGGCGGCGGTGGTGGGTTCTGGTGGCGAGAAAGTTGGAGGTGACGGTCGTGGGGTTGTGGTTGTCATAGTTGTGGCCCTAAACCCTAAACCCTAAATAGTAGTTTCCATTTTCTTTTCCATTCCCTATATACCCCCAATATACTATAGTAGTTTCCATTTCAGTTTCCGTTTTCCCAACAAGATTAGTTTTGAAACAGGGACCTTGCTGAGGCGTGCAAGACTGGAATGCTCCCATCAAGGAAACCTGTCAGAACATTACACAGCGCCTCGTCCAGCACTGGCCTTGCCCCTGCACGCATGTCTCGATCGTGGGGTTGGTCGAGCAACAAGAGGGCTTTCCCTAAACCCTAAACCCCTAAACCCTAAACCCTAAACCCTATAAACCCTAAACCCTAACAAGAGGGCTTTCCACTTCCTGGGCGGAAGTCCCTTTTCAACCTGAGGCTTTGCCTTCAGATTGCTTAGGACTCAGCTCTTGATCAGGTCCTTCACGGCTCGTCAACTGGGAGTGACAGTAAATCTTGTTCTGGTATGATGTCAACTCACACGAGCTGCGATGGAAGCGCATGTTCCAGTAGCAGAATCATCACTTCAAGCTGCTACTGGTAAGATGATTCTGCCACAGAGATCTAAGAATTGGAAGGTAGAGCGGACTTTTTGGGGTACTGTAGTGCCTTGATGCAGTCCTGCCGAAAGCATTCTGATGTCCGTCGGGAGAGCAATCGTGCAAAGGATTCAGCAATTTGTAGGTTTTTCGTTATCGCTTTGTGCCCGACGCGGAAGAAGCATACGCGACTCCAGAAGGTTCAAGGAGTCGGCACCAAAGATTTCTCGTCGCTTGCAGCCCATCGGTAGGTGAGCCGTTTGAACTGATGCATCATATGGGGGTTTCCCAAAATTAGGGGTACCATTTTGGGGGTCCCAATATTACGTAGTATATAGTATTTGGGGGTCTATATTGAGATCCCCCTATTTTGGGAAACTACCATATCCAATTCAAGCACTTACAAACTGCTGTCCACGAACACCAAAATGCTCCTGACTCAGGCCTCATGACCGTACCCTAGGTAGGTCTATTTGAAACCACCATTATCATATAATAGTGGTTTTGGCTCAGGGCTCAGGGTAAGGTAAAAACAACACTATCAACACAAAGCTTCTCAGGTCGAATGCCCCGTTTGAGGGAGTTTGGATAGCCAGCCTGTTTTAGGCTGGAAAGCTGTTGAGCTGAGGCCCTGTGGGTGCGGAGCCAATGCCAAGATGTGCCGCTGGACGGCCTCAGCCTCAAACCGTTGGCTCTGAAGGTTGGATCCATTCTTTGGAGCACAAACTTTCCAGGGATCATGGGAAAGAACATGGAAACTACTACAGTATAATGGGGTATACATGGGGGTTACAGTAGGGAATAAGGGAATATGATCCTTGCATAATCCTTATATACCACCAGTAAATAAGGTTGTGTAGACCTGCTTGGCCATCCACACTCATGTAGACTTGCTGTAGTTAGGCCTCATTAGCTGCTGGCGATGATGCTGAGACAACATCCGTCATTCGCGCTGATCCAGACGATGACCTCTATAAGCCCCTGCAGCCTAAATCCTTAAAACCCGCATCCAGATGATGACCCCTATATGCCCTAAAGCCTAAACCCTTCAACCCTAATCCAGATGATGGCCGCATTTACAAGGGCCGGGGCCGCTTGATGATGAGGCACTTCTATGTACACAGTGGCAGTCAAGGTCCAGGGCTTGGCTGTGGGACTCTCTGTGCCACCAAAACCCCCTATACCAAATCAGCACCTGAAACGAATTCCACCTTGGTATCCATTAACTGTCATCATCATCCTCATTATCCTCACTGCTCTTGCAAAGGAAAAACAGTACTAACCTGAAGCCCAGAAGATCCTTGGCCCAGGATGAGTGGGGGTCACGGCCTCGGCTCTTGCAAGTGCAGCCGCATGCTGATATGGGGGTGTCCCAAAATTAGGGGTACCAGTTTGGGGGTCCCTATACTAAGGACTGTAGTATTTTGGGGTCTATATTGGGGTCCCCTTAATTTGGGACACTACCATATACCCCAATATACAAAAATCCTTATTGCAAGGATCCCCGGAAAGGTACCCCTAATTTTGGGAAAGCCCTATATGGGGACTTATATAGGGATCAGTATAGGGGTCCACTCCCAAGGAACTTTCTTCAGGCAGCTTGAGCTGCGCAATGGCTTCAGGTATGAGAACGAGGTTTGCTACCCCTCGTCGGTGGCCTGCCCCGCGACCTGCAAAGAAGACGAGCAGCGCTGCTACATCACTGCCACCTGGGCAGCGTCAGAGGGATGTTTCACTCATATATATACATATATATATATAATAGGGTACTGCCCCCACCCAGTAACAGTCTATATTAGGGGTCCTATTAAGGGCTATATATAGCCATATAATGAGTATTTTCCAACTGTTATTGTGTGGGGGCAGTACCCTATATATACATATATATATACACCCATGCATAGGCTTCGGGGGATTACCCCAATAATGGAGAATCAAACGGGAAAACATGGAAACTGACATCATTGAGTGTTTGCACCAACAAGTATCGTTTTGGGGGAGCTTCTTTCCATTGTACGGTGACAGATTCCCATGGACTCTCCGACAGGGCTTTGTCAATGTGCGTGTCGCGGGCTCATCTCGAGTTCAGGCTAGAGGTTGAGCTTTTCAGGCCTTGTGATGGGGAGGATAAGGTTCTGGATTAGGCGCTCCCATTACAATCTCTTTGAAAGGATCTTCTTGAAGGCCCCTTGTTTTTGAGGAAAATCCATGTGATTCTTTTGCATGGCCCAGAAGATAGTTCACGAGCCCATCTTTCCCACAAAGCCTTACATATTACAAGTTGTCCTCTAGTCTGCTAGAGGCTTCAGTGTTACAACGCGCTCTTGCATAAGACCTGAGTTTTGGAGCCTAATTCTGTCTCTCGGGCTTAATGTTGCACTCACTTTAGTGAAGAGGCCCTGTTTAATGTGTTTCGGCCGCCGCTTATTCAGGATCTGGCC